GGTCAAAGTAACCCCATTTTACGGTACCTATTCCGACACTGTGTGACTAAATTTGGCATTTTGTGAGACTAATTCCGATTTCCGGCCACGCTTCAAACTCTACTAATTCGTAATGCCGACACTATTGTGTTTGAATTCCGATCGCTGTGTGAGCTTTATTGGAATGACACAGCTTGGAATTAGAACACTATTGAATACTGAACACTACTTAGCTAATTAGGCTTTTAATTAAGAGCTATCAAGCTTTTAATTAAGAAAATTTTAATTTTTGCACACAGCTTGGAACGTGCTCTGTGTGTCTAATTCCAAGCTGTATGGGAATTAGCTTTTAAGTGTCTAAAACCGTCTCTTAACTTAATCATCTATTAATTTTTTTACCTCTAGAAATCAGCATTCAGCAAATACAAGTATAGTACCGTAAAATGGGGTAACTTAGACCACTTTTTTTTTATAAATGATGCCATTTTTTTACTAGCTAAATTAAACTTGAATTGAAAGGTGCAAAATACAGGTCTATACTCTAGCTTCACTCACCATAAATTGGTGGCTCCTGCCTCTCATAGGCTTTATGTAATTTCAAAAAAAGTGATGGTCTTTGTTACCCCAGCTCTTGGGGTAACTTAGACCGGGTGGTAAAATCAATTATATTTTTTGGTAAAATAACTCCAAATAACTCCAGGTTTTGTTGCATTGTAGTAGAACTCTTCTAGTTACATATGCAAATGACAAACTTGAGGAAAGTGTCATAGTTTGCAAATGGGGGGCGCCGCCCCATAATGAGGGAAATGTGACTACCTAATGGCAGCCCTGATGGGGTAATATCTGTCTCTTATACACATCTAGATGTGTATAAGAGACAGCCATAATATTCTTCCTATACAAACAGTTATTCACTATTTGGTAGAGCAAGGTCAACTGTCAAATTTGACACATTTTTCGATGATCTCACTGGGTAGCGTGCATTGTCTCTCTTTGGATCTCAATATTTTCCCGCTAGATGGCCGAGACCTAGTGTTTTGGCAGTAGTTTGACGCGCAAATGTATGACGTCACCATTTCAACCATCAACGAATGCATGGAACTAAAACCAAGCTTAATATAAAGGAAAAACTAGAGAGGTGACGGAATTACCTACGATGTCGGAATATACCGCGTTTACCCTACTGCAAATTTAAGCATGAAACATTCCTTAATCATTCATCACAGAGTGAACTTCAATAAATAAAATGATCCAAATGTAAAAATCATACTTAGTATCATGAAGGGATGTGACTTGCTATTTTTATCTAAATTGCAGTATATATGTTGGCATCATGGCATCCTCTAGAAAGGGAAATTTTAGAAGAGTATCAGGATTCAGATGCAGTAAATAAAATATAGAATATGCCCACTTTATTTGTGGTATTTAATTTTACAATAGAGGTTTCTTCCCAAGGCTCGTGGATAAGCATTCTTTCTACTAGGTAGCATATCATAATTAAATCATGAACAAGAACTCACTAAAGCCTTTAGCTCATATTTAGATCATAGCATTTCTTTCTGACTACCACTGCATTCTCAAGTTATATGACTGATCATTAGACTCTTGATCTGTCATCCAAGATGACCAAAAATTATATCCAAAATTCAGATATGATTCCAATGAAAAATTTCACTCGAACTCTTTTCTCATTTCTATGTAGTACATTTTTTGTGCATAATAATCTCATTCACTAATTATAGGGCCATTAGGTTATTACCATTCTTATTCACAAGTGTCTTAGTGACGTGAAATAAACCTCAACATCCATGATAATTGAATCTTGGGCTTACACAGTTCTTTTATGTAAGTAAAAACCATTTGCCTTTGAGCTGCTCAAGTCATTTATAAGCAAAAGAAAAGTCATTTATAAATGTCAATCAAGTCATTTATAAGTCATTTATTAGCAAAAGAAAATTGTAAAAACAAATTTCCCATTAATTCATATTAAAAGGTGTGATCTGACTTTCAACATAATGATACTTGATAAAGATATAAAGTATCATTATGTGATACTTTAGTGATATGAATATTATTGATGGAATATGTGCATGTTACAAACGTCTCGGACAAATTTGCGACCAGACATGCGGCCGCTCTCATGGCAAATCTCCAAATTTAGTGAGCAAGGAATATCTTTCAATGTAATGACCATAGCTCGATGAAACTTGGTACCGTAAAAGGGGGTAACTTAGACCACTTTTTTTAAATAATGCCATTTTTTTACTAGCTAAATTAAACTTGAATTGAAACAAGCAAATACAGGTCTATACTCTAGGTTCCCTCACCATAAATTGCTGGCTCCTGCCTCTCATACTTTTTATGTAATTTAAAAAAAAGTGATGGTCTTTGTTACCCCAGCTCTTGGGGTATATTAGACCGGGTGGTAAAATTAATTATATTTTTTGGTAAAATAACTCCAGGTTTTCGTGCATTGTAGTAGAACTCTCTTAGTTACATATGCAAATGCCAAACTTTGAAACTTGAGGAAAGTGTCATAGTTTGCAAATGGGGGGCACCGCCCCATAATGAGGGAAATGTGACTACCTAATGGCAGCCCTGATGGGGTAATATTGACTGGCTTGGAAATTAAGTTAAAATTACCATATATAAGACTCTGTAGAGTCTGAAACATAAAGAAAAAAAAACATTAATAGGTTGTCAAACATAAAATATGTTATATTAACTTCCAAACCGGTCTATGTTACCCCGTCAGGGCTGACATTAGGTGGTCTACGTTCCCCCATTTGGGGGCGGCGCCCCCATTTGCAAACTATGACACTTTCCTAAAACTTGTCATTTGCATATGTAACTAGCCATGGTCAGGAATGGGGTACTCTGACAGGCTTTGAATAATAGCTTTTTTTCATGGGTCACATTTTTAATTTTTTAACCTATTAGATATGCAAACTTTTTAAATCTTTTTATTGTGTTATGTAGCCTCAGTATTAGGCCTTTAATGCCCATTGACAAAATTTTTCTATGTCAAATAGTTTTCGAGTTTTGGGGGTTTTTGTTAAAAAAAACAAAAAGTGGTCTAAGTTACCCCAGGAGTTTAAGTTACCCCATTTTATGGTATATGTATTCATTAGGACCCAGCAGTGACGTTTAGCTCAAGTAAATTTTTGGAATTTCACCTTCATTTGTGAGTTATATGGCAAAAAGTACCAAAATTTGCAGTGAATAAGACATTTTTTCTGACTACTGTACAGCAGATTAGAATGAAACTTTTAATATCCAAACCAATTTCCAACTTATTCATTAGGTCCTAATGGTAATTGTAAGCTTGTGAAAATTTTTCCCATTTCACCTTTATTCATAGTGCTTTATAAAGCAATTGGGGCCAAAATTTGCACTGACCAAGAAATTCATTCTAAACTATTGAACTGATTTGGATGAAACTTTGAATATTTAAACCTAACCTCTAAATGGTCATGTTTAGCTCATGCCATTTTTTTTATTTACTTCCGTTTACAAGCTGTTTCCATTTCACCTTCATTCACTAGTTATACATCAATACGGGCCGGAATTTGCAGTGAACAAGAAATTTCTTCTGAACTACCTAACAGATTTGAGCGAAACTTTAAATATAAAAACGGTTCTAAATATAGAAACGCGCAACAGTGATTTTTAGCTTGTGACAATTTTTTCCATTTTTCCTTTGTTCGTGAGTTACCGGTACTAGCTGATATCCCTCTGCTGCGAAACGACCCACCGGTGGGTCGTTTATAAAAATGGTACCAAATATGGATAAGAGCTCATAAAATTAGTTTTATTGAAATGTATAGCAAATTTGTGTTAGTATCATTAAATAAATTTTTGAAATAATAGAAAATGAGTTTTACTAATTCATTTAAGTACCAAATAAAACATAAATAATATTTCCAGTTGCAAGGTTTCAAATTGAGGAAAATACCCGCAAATTAGTGATGATGGTTTGAACTGAAACATGACCAGCACATAAAAAGGGTTTTTCAGAGCATCCTTCACAAAATGTTGATACTTTTTGGCCTTTCTTTCTGCAACTTTTGATCCTTCTGACTGGGAAATCATTTTATAGCATCCCACACAGCACTTTCTTGTCTTGCCTTTCGAGCCAGGAGCTTTGTACGAGCAATGAGCACTTGTCTTGCCGTCTGTTTTTTTAGCTGGTTCTTCCATTTGATATCCGTATAGGAGTGAAAAAAATAAGGGATTCTCTGAATTTTATGATTGTCCATTTGTGCCACCCACTGCAGTATTTATTGAAGATTAGGAGGAGGGCGTTGGAGGACCCGAATAATTGAAATGAAGGGTCGTCAGTAGAATAAAAAATCTGTCTGTGACCGTTATCTCACGGTCACATTTTCTCTCAAATAGAACCCTTTTTGACCAGTGAGATTCCATGGAATATTGAGAATTTAGTACCATGTACCAGATTATTCCTACAAATTTTTTTATTTCTCTAAAATCAGTTTGCATCCAGCAATTCAGCCTTGAGGAAAAAATTTTTAAATTTTTTTTCCTACAGACCTTAGCTGAGGTACTTTTCCAAAATTGCACTTTTCACACCTTTTTTCAGGGCTTGTTTAAATGTTGTAAATGTATGATTTCTTAACTTACTTTATGCTGCATAGATAGGAAAAATGTTGAACTTTACGCCACTATTTTTAGTTTTGCAATATTTTGATTACCTAGTTTAGCTGCTACAACATTTCTACNCCTGTCCCTTGTTACCCTGCCTGTCCCTTGTTACCCTGCCTGTCCCTTGTTACCCTGCCTGTCCCTTGTTACCCTGCCTGTCCCTTGTTACCCTGCCTGTCCCTTATTATCCCGTTTGACAGTACCGTATGTGTTTTTTTATTCTGTCCATCATCAATGGTCACCTGTCAAAAATTCCATTTAAGACATCAAGGAAAGGATTGAAGTGACTGTTTTGAAAAGGAACTTTTGAGGATAATTGATGTTGCACCATAAGTTTAAATTGTCATGATTTATTTCAGAATTGGTCTTTCGTTGTGTCAGTAAAATATTTTACTTGATGCTGCAATAGAGTAATGTTTGGTTGCATGTAATGCAGCAACCACAGTTGCAAGCTGGAGCTCCACGGCCCTTCCAGCCGATGTCTAATTCTGGAGCCATGAGCATGACAGGTAAATTTTTTTTATCTTAATTCAACTGCATAACTTCTTTTTTTTTTTTTTTGCTTTACCTTTTAATATTTCAAACAAGTGCTAAATTTCATGCATAAATAATCATTAATTGGTGTAATTTGGCAGAAGTTTTTCTTTTATGCAAGTTTGATTAAAGACAAGAGTATGTTTTTTATCAATAATCTTCTTGTTCGTTTGTTTCAAGGAATCTAACAAAATCCTCATCCATAACCTCAATGCCTCCTTGAGCTCCAATACCTCCTATGGAATACCACCAAAATAATGAAAATTGTATTTTCAAAACTTTGCAATCTATTAAAATGTCATTTGGAAAACTGCTTTTTGATCTCCCAGCACTAGCAAGAAATTTTGTTTGGCTCCTTGAAAAAACAAACAAGAAGATTATTAATAAAAAATATGCTGTGGTCTTAAATCAATCTTGCATATAATAATCATTACTGTGGTTTATTATACAATCATGTGCCAGCATGGGAAGGCAAAGATTATATTATAAATGAAAATCCTGATTACATCCAACCAAGTAAGCCTACTGGGAAACAGCCTGATTCACATTGTTTAATGTAATAAGAGGATTAATATTCATAATATTAATAATGATAATAATAGTAAGAGTATTTAATAAACTGGTTGGCCCTTCAAATCCTACTCATCTTTCAGGTTTCCCTCAGTCAGCTCGACCAATGGGCATGATGCCTCCAGGCCCACCCAGACCCGGAATGCCTGTAGGGGCTCCTCAAGGCATACAAGGAGGCCCCAGAATGCCTCAAGCTTCTCCTCAAAATCTGCAAACTCCCATGCCTCAAGGACCACCAAGATTGCCTCCTAACAATGCATCCATGGGTAGGTAAATTTATTATTTCCTTTGACCACCAACAGGTGTGCCTCAGCTACAGCAGCAAATGGCAAATGTTAGCCTTGGTGGTGGATCTCAAGAGCAGGTGAGCAAATACAATGTAAATCAGGATTCTTCTTAGTTTTCAAATGAAGTTTTTATGAATTTATTTACATTGCTCTGTAATTGTCTCGTATCATACATAATAATAGCATATCTAGCAAGTTTCCTCATCTTCATGCTTCAGAGGGGTTTGAAGTTATTCATTCATGAAGAAAAATAAATGGAATGTATGATGCAATTTGAGATTGTAACATTTTCGTTATAGAGTACGGTACGGTACGGTACGGTACGGTACAGTAAGGAATTATGTAAAACTATAAAGAAAATGTTTACCAAATATTTGTAAACAAAGGTTTGCCATTTTTCTGCAGACATTCAAAGGAAGTTCCATCAGCTCCAGCTCACCTTCATCGTTGACAAATGGGTTTCCATTAGCTCCCTCTCCTTCACCTTCACATGGTCAGAGCAATCTGCCTCAGACATCTGTTGCATCCATGACCTCAATGCCTGCTGGAGCTCCAATGCCTCCTATGTCTTCTGGGACTCCCATGCCTTCTGGGGCTCCAATGCCTCCCTTGTCTTCTGGGGCTCCGATGCCTCCCATGTCTTCTGGGGCTCCCATGCCGCCTATGTCATCTGGGGCTCCCATGCCTCCTATGTCATCTGGGGCTCCAATGCCTTTTATGTCATCTGGGGCTCCAATGCCTCCTATGTCATCTGGGGCTCCAATGCCTCCTATGTCTTCAGCGGGCCCGATGCCAAGTATGGCTAGGCCTGGAATGGTCATGCCACAGCCAGGAATGTCGAGACCACTTGGCCCTGGTATGGCTCCTACCCAAGGCCCAGGCATGGCTCCACCTCCTGGCCATGGCATGGCTACTCAAACTGGCCCTGGGATGGCTCCTCCCCGTGGTCCAAATATTGCTCCACCACCTGGCTCCGGCATGGCCCCTCCTCGTGGTGTGGCCCCTCCTCAAGGCATGGCCCCTCCTCCTGGCATGGCCCATCCTCCAGGCATGGCCCCTCCTCCAGGCATGGCACCTCCTCAAGGCATGGCCCCTCCTCAAGGCATGGCCCCTCCTCCAGGCATGGCCCATCCTCCTGGTATGGCTCCCCCTCCTGGCATGCCCCCTCCTCCAGGCATGGCCCATCCTCCAGGCATGCCCCCTCCTCCAGGCATGGCCCATCCTCCAGGCATGCCCCCTCCTCCAGGCATGGCTCCTCCTCGTGGCATGGCCCCTCTTCCTGGTATGGCTCCTCCTCCGGGCATGGCCCCTCCTCCTGGGCCCGGGATGGCACCTCAGGCTGGAGGCTTTAGCTCA